GTTGCCTCAAACTTTGTGTGTTCTCCTCAAAGACCTCAGATCAGAACTGTTTCGAACTTTCTTAAACTTGATGACACTTCTGTATTGGACACTTTAGCCTTATCTTTTGGGGAATTTGAATGTTGTAGTAAATTTTGAAATTTAGAATCGCTCCTTAAGTTTTGTGGTAATGTCTATGAAAGTGTGTGACAGAAAAATATATTAAATGGAACCCACGACACCCATGCTATTATAAAGATATAATCCATCTTACTCGTCGCATAAAGTGCTTACGTAAGAATCGTCATTTCAAGTGTAATGATAATGCTTCTTGAGTTAATGCATTGAAAAGTAAATAGAAGGTAAAATCAAGAGGCTAAAAAAACTTCTACTTTATTTCATTTCATTTCATATCATTTTGACCCTAAAGACACAAGAATGGGCCCTCAGGGTCTGTTCTCGGGCCCTACAGGTCCGAGTATGGCAACAAGCTGGTTGATTAGATAGTGGATTACTTGCGATCACGCTCGCAATTTTTTACCTTTAACTATGGAAAGTCATCTGACATACAGATCTAATCAGGGGTGCCTGAAGGCTGAGTGCTTAGGTCGCTTTTGTTTATATAAATGACATAGCCGAGATTATCAGTAACACCCAATTAAACATAAGGGGAAATACAATACATAAAACAGCGAATGAAGAAAACCAAATAAAAGAAGAAACAAGCATGAAAAAAATTTAAAAAAATGCTATAACAAGCAATGCAAACACACACAAAAAAAGGCAGACACAGTTTAGTAATACAGCATTCAGTAGAGTTAAATAAGGGATCAATGAATATATGACAGAGTACAATATAGCAAAAATTGAAGATGAAGGTCAAACGTTGTCAATATTGTGCTTACAATACATATACTAAATGCAAACTTGGAAACTGACAATTTAGCTAGTATGGCAGGACTGTTCACTTAGGTAAGATAGTAAGGCTGACTGGAAACCAGTCAATTCTTTAATGTTCGAAATGTTGCGCGGAAGGGCGTTCCACTAATTTATTGATAAAACCAAAGAAGAGTGTAAATATTTTACTGTGCGAGCAAATAGTGGACGCACCTTGTGATCGTGATCACATTCGACTGAAATGTTTATGGCTGGATGAATGAATTTCCATGAGAAAGGACTGTTGCTAAAGTAGATGCTGTGAAAGAAAGATAATCTGGAATGTTTTCCACGTGTAATTAGTGGTAATATACCAACAGTTTTTTTATTGATGCTACACTGTGAAACCGAGAATATGAGGAAGCAACGAACCTAGCGGCTTTATTTATGCTTGATGGGGATACCATATGTTAAAAGCATACTCTAAGAATGATTTGATGAGTGAATTAAATCACTGAAGTTTATTATCTGAAGTAGCCAGACGTAGGTGGCGTTTTTTAGCAATATCTTCGCTACACTTACGAAAAAAAAGCCATCCAGGTTCTAGAGGTTGATTAGTCCTGGATTTTCTATGCTCTCATCGTTTATTCTTGATGGCCAATCCTCCTCAAATCCTGAAGCTATAGCAAGTGTCTTTATTAATTACTTCAAATATGCTTTTTATACCAATAAAGGCATTACTCCTTCATTTTTCACGTGCAGCAAACTACGTACCTGCTCATTCTAATCTTGAATTGAGCTCCTCTGAAGTGCATAACCTAATAGTATTTTTGAAGTTAGGAAACACTCTGGCCCAGACGGTATGCCAAATATATTTATAAAGTAGTACTGAGTATGGTATGCTAATTATCTTACCGTAATATTTAAAAAAGTAAATCTCTGCAATAGTTCCCCAACTGTGGAATTTAGCCAACGTCGTGCCCTTAAGTCTCGAAACAAGCAAATACCGAATTATAGGCCAATATCTGCATTTTCTATTCGAGCTCCACACTTTTGGAGTATATAATCAACAAATACTATGTAGAATACCTAAACACACAATATATTTTTCCGATCACAGCACGGCTTTTGTGCTGGCTACACAATTGCGTGAATTTGTACACGACATTGTCGCTTCCATTAACGACAAAAGACAAATTTATGCCATATTTGTTGACTGTTCTAAGGATTTTGACATGGTTTGCCATGCCAAACTTCTAGCGTCTTCACAAATTTCTTGGCGACAACAAGGTGGCTAATTGTATAGCGGATATACTTGCGATCACACTCAAATTTTTTTACCTTTAACCGTGCGAAGTCATCTGACATACAGATCTAATCAGGGCTGCCTCGAGGCTCAGTGCTTGGGTTGATTTTTTTCATTATTTATATAAATGACGTAGCCGAGATTATCAGTAACACCCAAATTGAACTTGAAGTGTATGCAGACTGCGTTATCTGTAAAATAACCTCTAATACTCAATATCAAGATGCGCTGATTACTTTTTTTTTGTCGTTCTGTAATAGGAGCGAAACATGGTGATTGTTTAGTAACTGCAAAAATACTGTTGTCACGACCTTTTCAAATAAGAAATGGCCTCATAATTTTACATATGCTAATGACGGTGCTGAACATATGTATTTGCACCTATGTCTCGAATACTAAAACAGCAGTACTTGTAAATAAATAATATTAATACATGCTGCTGTCATTTCAACTGCTTCGACCTTTGGGGAAGCAGATTTTTTTTTTTTTTTTCAAAATTCAAGGAACAAGTTGCTATCCCCATCAACTCTTAAGTCTTGATCCAACTGCCCCCCCCCCCCCCCTCCCCGCACGCTGCCGATCCAATGGACCTTGTGTCGTTGACACGCCGCTGCCGGAGGTGGAAACACCGGCATGCCACTGCTGGCAATCTTGGTACCGGCGCATAGGTCTAAAACCGAGCAGGAATGCCTCGCGGTAGTATTTGCCTTGCAACGGTTTCGCTCCTTGGTTTAAGGTCGCCCGTTTACTATAGTTGCAGACCACCATTCTCTGGGCTGGCTGGTCAACATTTCAAAATTGAGAAGATGCGCTTGTCTTGATCTCTTTCTGTCCCGTGTTTTGTGCGCTCTGTTTTATGAAGAACTATGGTCAACAGTCATGACTCGTCCGAATGCCTCGCTTGATGGGCCCTTCGCCTACAAGAATATGTGTTTGCTATTTCACATAAAAGTGGCCGCCGACATGCTGATCTGGACTGCTTTTCTAGGATGCCGCTACCTACGACACATTGCAAAGCTGATAACTTTGGCCACCTTGTAGCTTTCCTGTCAGCTGACTTTCTCGGTTCCAGCTTGAAATATTTTTTCCCTCCAAGGCAAGGTTCGGTAACCAAAGGCCCGTTTTGCATCAGAGATGGTCTTCTTTACAAGAGAAACTTGTCAACAACGGTTGCTCGCTTCTTTCTGGTGGTTCCCGATTCTCTACACACGTATGTTCTGCGTATTACACACGATGACCCAACGTATGGTTACCTAGAGACCGCGCAAATACTAGGTCACACCAAATACTGAATCTACTGGTTGAAAATGCACAAAACAGTTGAGACCTATGTGGTTAGTTGTACGTCAGAGCCACAAGCCACCTACCTCAGCTCCGGTCAGTTATCTGCAACCAATAACTCCACCTAGCACTTCTTTTGAAAAGGTTGGCATAGACCTCATTGGTCCTATCCCGCATTCTTAGAGAGGCAATAAGTGGATATTAGTGTGTGCTGACTACATGACACGGTATTGCAAGACAGCGGCCTTATCTTTTGCCACGGCAGCCCAGGTTTCCGAGTTTATACTACATTCCATCGTTCTTCAGCATGGGCTCCTTCGAGTGATAATGAAGGACTGTGGTCATCAGTTTACTGCCAATGTTGTCGAAGAATTACTTCGCTCATGTGCCACCGAGTTCCGACACCTGACAGCCACCACCCACGAACTAATGGACTGACCGAGCGCACAAACCGAATATTAATCAACATGTTGTCGATGTACATTGCTTCAGATCATAAAAACTGGGATGAAGTGTTACCATTTGTGAAATACGCCTTGAACTCTGCAAAACATGAAACGACAGGTTACGGCTCTTTCTTTCCCCTCTACTCTCGCTCACCACGCCACATGCTAGACACTATCTTTGCTTTTGTTAGGCAGGACGACTTGACTATTACCGAGACATGTTGCGCTGAAGAGGCTCAGCGATTTGCACGCTTACGTACATTGACTGTGCAAGACAACTCTAAAACACGTTATGATAGTCAACGCCGACACATCACCTATGTTCCCAGTGATTGTATAGCTGTGGACTCCCGTATGCCGATGCGGCTTAAGCCAAAAACTTCTTGCAGACACTGAACAAGGGTGTCTGCAAGAAGTGTCTTCTGAACAAGGGTGTCTAAAAACTTTTTGTAGACTACACCGGACCGTTTGTTATTCTCCATTGTGTAAACGATGTCAATTATGAGACAGCGGCTCTCACTTCAAGTGGCCACCGAATATTCACCCAAGTCAGAAGTGATGCATGTTGCCCGCTTTAAGCCATTTTCACGAAGGATGCAGGATTGACTCACCAGGAGGGCTTCATCTGAGAGAGGATAAATGTTACGAAGAAGAGTACCTGCAAATGGAAACAGAAAGAAGCTGGAGAAGAAGAGAAGAACGACGATGCTGCTTTGGCGATCACCACGGTTTTTCGTGCCTCCACTGTCATTAAACTCCCCCTTTAAACTTTTTATGTGTTTGTAACAATATTCTGAGAGTCTACTTTTTTTATTCTTTTCGTTCTTTCATTTTTGTGTTGTCTGTGATTGGTCATTAATTAGTCACATTAAAGTGATCCTGTAACTGTAATGTTATAGTTACAGCATTTGTTTTTATTAGCATTGCTGCGTATCTGTTACCCCTGATTTCTTAAGTATTTTTTTTCTTTTCTTTCTTTAATATCCAATCTATGGCTTTAAGAGTGGCCTACTGTTTGATACTTGAGGCACTAGTGTAGCCTGAGTTTTTATAGTGTTCTTTGAAGGCCTCGTGAATGCTTTCCTTACCATTGCACTTCTCTTTTATTTTAGACCTGTGGGGACCTTTGCTGTGCTGGTTGCTGATTGGCCAGTTGGGATTCTTTAGCACAGGCCATCAGGCAAGCTTTTCAACAATCCATTGGAAAGCAGCATTTGTGGGAGCACCCATCGACCGGTCACCCATGATCCTTGGTGCTATAAAAGTGCTGTTGAACACTTTTGCTGGCCCATTGGTGGCAGGTGCCAGCCTCCCCCTTCTGCAACACAGCTTTCACACACAAGGCGTGTCTTCTACCAAGAAACAGATTATGCCATTTGTCGCTTACTGCGCACTGCTTCTCCTACAGGTATGGTTTGCTTTCCATGTGTAGTATGTAGTCATGTAAAAAGCTAAATGTCAACAGATTTCTAGACCTCCATTTGGTAGTCTAATGGTTATGATGCTCGACTGCTGACCTGAAGGTCACGGGATCGAATCCCATCTGCCATGGCTATATTTTTAGTGAAGGTCTGTACAAGGTGATGCATAGTATAGATTTGGGTACATACTTAAGAACCCCAGCTGGTCCAAATTTCTGGGTTCTTCTTTCATGGCATCCCTCATAATTAATGCCCTCGTAATTATTGGTAACACATTTGTAATTTCAATTAGCTTGTGCATCTAAACAAACAGTTCGAAGTTTAAGTGTTGAGCACATGACCAAAATGGAGAAACCTGATATGTCAGAGCTTTTATTCTGTTTCTGTTGTCAGTAGTGTCTCTTGCAGTTGCCTAAAAATTGTGGTGGTGTTTGCAGATACTTCTTGGCACCAATTGCACATGGTGCATTGATCAACTGTGCTGCTGAAAATTGCATTTTGAAATTGCAGTTGAAGTTATGCTTAATCATGTGTACATATCTTCAGGGCACCAAAAGGGAGTGTGTACTTGGGTCCTCTCTTTAACCCTCTGAGTGTTTTTGCTGTACATTTATGGTGGCAGTTTCTTTTTCTGCAGTGTTTGTGCCATACAGGTACATTTTTTAACCTCTGCTTGAAATAAAAGGTGTAGTAAAGAGCCTTATGAGTGCACATACACAAACAAAATTGTATAAAAACACTTCTGTTAAGGAAAACGGCCTATTTGTATACGGTAAGCCGTTAATCGTGCGAAAGGTGGCTTGTGCATGGCTTATATAAATTTTCAGCGACTCTAATGGCGTGATGTCAAACACAGCTATTCACAAACTTATCTATTCTTACAGCAATATCAAACAGCTTTAGTTTGTTTGCACACTTCTTAGAGTTGGCATTGTACCTGATCGCAGGAGCCACATTTGAGCCACCTGTACAGGTGGTTCCGTCTAGTGGTGAAATGTGCAACCAAGAGAACACATAACTAAGCAGGTGTGTTCTACTTCATCAAAGAGGAATGGCGATTCTAGTTGGCCTCCCAATGCATTCAAATTGCAGCTGTCATTGTCCGACAGCTTCAAGGAACTTGTGCACATGTCGTCGTCAGTCACAGACTTGGTACGGCTGTTGTGGCTTGATCACCTTTCCACTGAGTGTCTGTTTTTTGCCACTTTCGCATTTTTCATACTTCACGTTTGCGAGACCACTACGCCTTGTATAACTTCTGCTTTTTACCAGCTTTTATGTCATGGGAAGAAATTACTGCTCAGTTAGGTTTCGGTTTCGCCGCTGTTTTTTTTTTGCGTATTTAAAATTATCGTCTAATTTGCTTGGTATCTTTACAATCAGGCCTGTGACATGAGTGTCTCAGGAACATAGAAGCAACACTAGTTTGACATGGTAAAAAATGATTGCAGGAGTTGGCCTTTAAGGCATCGTAGATAGGCTTGTGCCATATGCTGTGGCTGATCAAGTGCCCAAATGAGTGGTAGGCATTTCATTCAACCTGTCTTGTTCAGAAAAATGCTGCATACTTTCTCATGCTCACACATCTGTACCAGCCTAGCTTATGAGAGTCCTGATGATGATAAATGAATACTTGGGAGCCACACAACACAGTTATTAATGTGATAAAATTAATTCGATACCTCATGCAGTTTTTGTTGTGCTGATATCTTGTTGAATCTGCTAAACCCATGGTTGCAGGTTGAATTCCTGCTCGCGGCGGCAAATCCAAAAAAAAATGTCCATGTTTTTGGATTTAGAATTACATTAAAGAACTCCAGTTGCTCAAAATAATCTAGGGTTCCCGAGCATTGCGAGTTTTATAATCATATCATGGTTTTGGCACGCAAAACCCCATGAGAAAAAGTTCTCATTGGAAAAAAAAAAAGAATGGGGAATATCACTGGGGCTGCACATGATTGAAACCATGTCACATAATTTTCTCAAGCACAGCAACCTGATGCTTCAGTGCACTATGCGTGCCTGGAGGAAGGAAAGGAGTAATGCTTTGTATCTTTCTAATCTTTCCCGACTTACTGTGCGGACAATAAATACGTGCGCGCCTGACTGATGAAAGTGGAAATGTTTCCCCTTCCTACATACTCTCACTACTCATAAATTTCTTTATTGGAATGAGTTTAGCTTAGCCCTGTGTGCTTTAGCCTGTGTAAATCACTGATATGGGAGCAAATGTGGATAACTATTTCAGCTGCGGGCATCCCAGAGAATTCGATCTTAGGAGCAGACAACTTCTTAGTACTGTTCAATTACAACTTTTAGTGCTGTCAGTTCAGTGACTTTCATTAGTACTGAGTATTTCAAAAAGGTGCAGCTCTCTGCTACTTAGACTGGAACATGCAGTGCATAATTCATATGACTCAGTATGTTTTTGAGACTATGGGAGCACCATACGTTATGCTGGTAATTTATAGCACGAAGTTTGGTTACCACCTGTGACTGCTTCAGCCTTAGAAGGCCTCGCAGATTGCCATGTCTTTGACCACTGGGGACTGTACTTTTATTTACAGGCAACACATGGGCTAATGGCTATACATATCAATTTTTATATAGATCTTCTGTAGCTTTTGTTTTAAGTGCAACAGTACAGGACCCACAATGCTGTTTGATTGATTGATTGATATGTGGGGTTTAACGTCCCAAAACCACCATATGATTATGAGAGACGCCGTAGTGGAGGGCTCCGGAAATTTCGACCACCTGGGGTTCTTTAACGTGCACCCAAATCTGAGTACACGGGCCTACAACATTTCCGCCTCCATCGGAAATGCAGCCGCCGCAAATGCTGCTTAAAGATTTAGTTTATAAGTCAGCTTATTTTTTGTGGATAGTATGTTGTATGCCTAAATGTCAATACTATTTTAGATGATTAAATTTGAAAGTTGTGATGAAATTCATTAGAAAGGCTTTGTGTCTCAGCTGTGGTGCACTCATCTGTAACATCTAATCAACAGGCACTTTCTTTTATTGCCTTGGTAAATTTACCACTTTTATAAGAATGCGCAAAGGATTTCTAACAATTTGACATCTATTGGGAAGATTATCTTGTCGTGTTGTCTTGTTTTGGGAGTACACATCTGTCCTTGTTGCCAATAGTATTTTTGCTGGGTATTCATTGCGTTCTGGTGATGAGATTTGTCGTAGGATTACTATAAAATGTAGTAATGCTAATCAATTCCAAAAATGGTTAAACAGTGAAAAACCTCACGGAAGTTCATTGAACAAAACAAAAAAAAGAACTTTAACCATTAACTGTTTAGGCATTTCTTTTCCAGCAGATGAATATGGGGTGGTTACTGCAGGGCAGCATCAGTCCAATGGCCCAAAGTTGAACTAGGTCAGTCACCGCGGAGAAGCCCAGGCACAGTTATAGAACAAGTTTGAATGTTTTATTGAACATGATTGCAAAAACAGTAGAAAAAATTAAAAGCCTGCTTGATACAGTGATAAGTGTGTTAGTCTTTTGTATCTTCTCAGGAATACTCTCACCTGAAATCGAGGGAAGTTGCAGTGTAGGCCACTATACTTGACAATGTTAGGAAAGCTATGGGGGCAGAGCTTGCAAAATTGCTCTGGTTTGTTGTGCATTGCGTACAACTGTGGAGAGTGATCACTGCACGGCATAAGTGTTGCTCAACACTTGATTTGTCAGTTTGGACAACCATTTGCAGGTAAATTAAATATTTTCTTTTAGGTGAGTAGATGGAAGAACCAGAGTGCGAGGAGTGCTCACTTGAAGAAACAGACACTAGTATTTACCGTTTGAGCTAGATGTAAAAGGTGCGACTTTCTCACGTGTGCAAAAGCACAAAATGTGGTGTAAGTTTAAAAGCATTTAGAATACCGTATTTACTCGATTCTACTGCGCCCTCGATTGTAACGCGCACCCGGTTTCCACGACGAAAAAAAAAAGTAAGACATCAATTGCAACGCGCACCCATTTTTCTCGTTGGCCCGCACAATCACACCACTCGGGAAAACGACTTCTTTCGAGAGCGTCTTCCGTTGAAATATGAGGTACGGGGGAAGCTTGTGCCTATCTGACGTGCAACGGAGCATTGCCGTCACTCTAGTTTTACCGTGGCCCGATGTCAGCACGCGAACTTGCTTTGCCCCCTTCTTCTCGACGGTTGTGGTGCCAGGCATGTCGAAGTAAAGAGGCGTCTTATCGGCGTTCCCGATTTGCCCAAGCAGGTAGCCGTCATTGTGCCGCAAGTTTAGGACGAACCTCTGAAAACTGTCAACCTTTTCATCGAACTCCTTCGGAAACTTTTCGCATATGCCCGTTCGCCTCCGGAGGGAAAAGCCTTTTCTCTTCATAAAGTTAGTTAGCCTGCACCTGCTCGCTTTAAACTGCCCCGCATTAGCCCTTTTTCTAAGGCTAACTGCATAACCTGCACTTGGAGCAGTTCTGTCGTCACGGGCCGCTGTGCCGCTCACTGCTCAATCACATACTCGCCGAGCAGCTCTTCAGTTTGCGGAAACCGACCCTGCTGTGGTCTAATGAAGCCTTTGCGTGAATCTTTGCTGTCGACAATCTTGTGCTTTTGTTTTCGCCAGTCCTGCACGCACGTTTCGGGAATTCTGAACGACTGCGATGCGGCTCGATTTCCGTCCGTTTCGGCACACGCGATGACTTTTCTTTTAAAAGTGGCATCGTGGTGCACTCGTCGAGTTTTTTGAGTCGGCCATTTCATGCCGTTGATAGTAATGCACTACAAGATGACGAACTTCTCAGCACACGTACGAAGTGCTGCACGTGGGAAACACATAGGCAGAAATGGCCGACGCGCCATGCCGACGCACGTAGGGGTCGGCCATTTTGGAAATGTCGATGGCAATATAATGACCGTATTCATTTTTTTGTACTCGATTCTAACACGCATGCAATTTATGAACTCACTTAACCGGAAAAAATGTGCGCGTTAGATTCGAGTAATTACGGTATTACATAAAAAATAACAAAAGCATAGATGGAATGCTGTGCTTACCGGCTGAATTTATAAAGGCCCAATTCACATGGCATTTTCGTATGCCATGTAACTAATGTTAATTGCTTGATAAGAACTGCAGAAACATGGGGCACCACTATGTTGCAAAACTATGGATGAGGCCAGAAATGACAGCTTATGTTCTAATGCAAGAACCAATGAATCATAGCACTGCCACTGTTGTGAGAGTCTGCTGCAACTGGTCCACTAGCATAGGTCACCGTAATGTGTTGGATTAGTATTTGTAACCTTCATCAAGTGACTCTTGAAACTTGGTTAGCAGAATCCCTGAGAATGTTCCAGTATTGTGGCTGTCAAAGCGCTTGAACCTATCTGCTAAAACGTTCCACAGCTATGTTCTTTTCATGAGATCATGTTGACGTCTACATTGTGTAGTATGTTTTATAAATAGCACAAAAAAAATAAATCTTGCGGTTGTATTTACTTGCAGTTTTTGTACACTTACTATGTTGTAGATCAGGGAGAGAAAAAAGCTCGGGAAAAAGTGTGTCTGCTGCAGTGGTATAGTGGTTACGGTGCTCGACTACTGACCCTAAGGTCACGGGTTCAATCTGAGCTGAGGTGGTCGCATTTTGATGAAGGTGAACTGTTTGAAGGGCCAGCGTAGGGGCTGGTTGGTTGTTAGTGGGAGCTAGTTGGTTGCTTGTCGTACCTGTGCTTTTTTGTGTTTTTCTTTATTTCAAACAGCATGGTGCAAGTATCAACTGCGAAATCTTAGAGGCTTGTGTGCTGTATGCTTGTGCAGGCTTGTGTACAGTCATTGCACATTAAAGATTGTTGAAATTTTTTAGAGTCCCTCACGATGCCGTACCTCACAATTATATCATGGCTTTGGCACATAGAACCTAAAATGTTATTATTATTGTGAAAAAGTATAATTATATTGCTTTAAACTCTAAAGTCTTTTTAGTAGAAGGCTACAAAATGAATTAAATCACCCAAAGAACATTTGAGCAGCGCACATGTTGGTCAGTGGCTAGCCACTGATGTTGGTCAGAAAAAAAAAGTCTTGATCATGCTGCTCACCATGCTGATCACTAATATATTTGTTCCCCTTGTTGTCTTTTTTTTAAAACTATTTAACACTATAAAACTATGGATTGTTCTTGAGTCCATTCTGTTTATTGTTGCCAGTTATCCTCCTTGTCTTGAGTTTAGTTGCATTGAAGTATAAAATAAATTTCCCACTTTATTCATGCATTTCAGGTTTGCAGCACAATGGCATCATGCTTGCTTCTGCGGCGTCACCTAATGGTGTGGACTATATTTGCCCCACGGCTTGTTTTTCAAGTGCTGTCAGCATTCTTCGGCATTGTTGCAGTGTTCATTGGTTGGGTGTCATCACAAAGGATAGTGTCAAGAGCAGAAGTTTTTCATATAGATTGATCGGTTTCATTAGTGAAGATGTGCTAGACCTTAAATATTGACTCAACAGCAGATTGTCATGCCTTCATAAAAAAGTCTTAGGTTTGAGAAGTGAGCAACAGTGTAACTTGTCGCAGTGTTGTTAAGTCGGTGCTTGTGCATAGGGATGGAAAGTCACATGAAGCACTCATGTTGCACAATTTCTCTAAGGTTCAGCACCGTGACAAACCTCATCTTTAGGATGATACTTCACATCTGTACAGACACTTCATGACACATTCCAATGAGAGTTACAATAATGCCCATATTTCACGTTTCTTTTTTCAGCTAAGTAATCTCACTGCCTCAGTGTTCCTTTCAGATGGACTAGTCAGTGATGTGTAGGGCAAGGTTCTGTTGAATCGGACAAGTCTTTTGCTATATTTAGGGGTTAATGTTGCCCGTCTGCCGCCAGATTTGGCAGATAAATTTGCCCCTGCAGCTGTGCCTTTCCCGTGAAGGCTCTGTGTCGTCCACGGTACATTTTGTGAGTGCCTGTGCGACGTCAGTCAATAAACAGAATGACGCGTTCCAGAAGTCAGGGCATGTGTGCAGCTGTGCAATTAAGAGGTCGGACTTGATCGTGTCTCAGAATTATGGTATCTGCGCATAACGACGCGTAGGAGTACATGCTCAAGGAGAACTAAACTTGTGCACCGCGTTTTAATACATCGAACACACCGAAGCATAGAATACGCCAGGCAGGCTGTTTTATAGCCGCTGCTGGAGCGAAGCGCGATTCGCGCATCCAGCCTTGGCACTTTTAATCTGCATTAGGACTTTTGAAAGAAATTTATGTAGCGCGAGGCGAAAAAACGAACACAAGAAAGAATAGACTGAGAGGACAGAGCGCTACTAGCAACAACATGTTTATTTTCGACCTCCGAGCCACTTTTAAGCCATAATCGTTAGGCGAGCAAGCAGATAAGCACGTGTATTCAGATAAATGCACGACAATGTCATCTACCTACAAGAAAAGCGATAAATAGGACAACAAAAAAACTCGCAGATAAAATCACGTATCACTGCGTACGCAGGAATGCCAGTTCCTTGGGTGACAAGGCAATTGAAAGCTTGCTAATACAAACATCTCCAAGAGCATCAATAAGTTCGGCTTATTCCTTCTGGCGGCAGTTTTCTCGCTCTTCACATTCACGCGTGTGGGTGCCCGCCTTTGTTCCAGAGTACAATCATAGTTGGTCGGCATAAGGATGAGATGACCCGGTTGATCATAGAAGCCGAACTTATTGATGCTCTTGGATATGTTTGTATTAGCAAGCCTTCAATTGCCTTGTCACCCAAGGAACTGGCGTTCCTGCGTACGCAGTGATACGTGATTTTGTCTGTGAGGTTTTTTGTTGTCCTATTTATCGCTTTTCTTGTAGGTAAATGACATTGTGCATTTATCTGAATACACGTGCTTACCTGCTTGCTCAACTGACGATTATGGCTTAAAAGCGGCTTGGAGGTCGAAAATAAACATGTTGTTGCTAGTAGCGCTCTGTCCTCTCAGTCTATTCTTTCCTGTGTTCGTTTTTTCGAATCGCGCTACATAAATTTCTTTCAAATGTTTCACCAACAAGCCCACATTGCCACTCTTGCATTAGGACACGAGTCCAAATGATATGCATTGTACTGCCACAGCGAGCGGAAGCATCGTAGCGTCCCAATTGTTGCGTGTGATCGACACGGCACGATCAGCTGTGTTGTGTGGAGACTTCCTACTTCTGAGACACGATCGGACACGATCAGAAAAAGGGAGCGCGCCACCTGCTGTAGCTATGCGCACCTTGTCACTTATGCACAACGGCTCGTCTTCTGGGAAAACTGAATAGAGTCGCAGCAGGCGGCGTGCTTCCTTTTTCTGACGGTGTTTTCTTTTTCTGAACTGCTATGTGAACACTCCTGTTACTATGGCCCAAACAAAGAGCCTCAAGGGAAAAGATGTTTTCAAAATTAAGAATAATGCTTAATTTCTGAATAGAGTTTCTAAATGTTTCTTCCTATGGCTTGTGAAACGCACCTGTCAGTGCCTGTTCTGTTTCTTACTCTTTGTTATCTTCTTGTGTGCATTGCATCAATAAATATGAATGCAATGTTTGTTTTATCTGCACCCAAGTCTTTCTATTAGGTGTAAGATTAGGTCTTCTGCAATCTGTGGCTACTAAGGTCTTCTATATGGAAGCTAGGCTCCCTTCACTTGCTAACTGGTTTAAATTATTAGCAGTGCAGGAATTTATAGGGCTGTATGAATACCCCATCAAGCGTTCAGAAACAGTTTTTATTGCCTGTGTTTTTGGAGTATAATGGCCAAGAATTCATATGCCTCAAATTTTAGATAGATAATGCCTTCATCATCAAATTAACATTTGAATTAATGATCAGTGTATAATCAGTAACAGCAGCAACTCTAATAAATTAGGGTTTGGAAATATTTTTCCAAACAACTAATCACTTCGCTTATCAGATAAGGATTACCTGGAACCAATTAAGAGAGTCATAGCGACGGGTGCTTCACAAAGTGAAGAAAAATGCGGAATTGAGATTTTTCCTCCAGCTCTAGATTGGTCGTTTTCTCTTCACCTTTCAAATTTTGTGCTCATCTTTACAGCAGAAGTTTAGCATTCATTCTAGCTCTGGGAAAAACTAAAGCAGCATAAATAAGCTCAGAAATAATTTTGACGGACTCGCTATCGGTTTGTGCCCTCACTGCAATGAAGATTTGAACATTTTCCGTGCTTTCAAATTATTGGTTTCATTGCACATAAATTTAAACATCGCCCTCTTCATCCATTCCGGGTCATTTTGGCGCCTGCGCCAGAGCTACCTTTCAATACTCGTGACATTATCCCGCTCGGCAAAGCACCGCGCCAATGCCTGTTATAGGTAGAAGGGCATGTCACTGTCGTATAGAGCTTCAGGCGAGAAACACGTACAGTGTCAGCTCTCGATGTAACAGTCAATGAGTTTGTAGTCGGGGAAATCTGATAGGTTACAGGTGCCACCTGATGCAGAACTTTGTAAGGCCGAACATATCGCGATAAATGCCTCTCACAGAGGTCGAGACGATGAAATATGAGCCACAGTAGCACGAATGAGCCCGCAGAAAAATTGGCATCTCTATGCCTACTGTCACAGAGTGACTTTTGAGCACTCTGGGATGACGAGCACCGAGCGTGGACTACTGCACAGGGGACGAGAGCTCGGGAGTTGGAATCTTGAGCGTACAAAGTGATGGATGGAGGGTCAGGTAGAATAAAGGTGTCGAGAGGTAAAAGAGAAGATAGAGTTGTGAGTAGCCGGCAGTTCATGAGGCGAAGAGTTGAAGGTGAAAGTTATGAACACGAGGACGATGACCCATCGGTGTAGTAGTCAGAAACGTATATGAAAAGAATGTTCGTCTGTGCGTTATTAAGACGTTCAGTCAGTCTGTTAGTCAAAGGATGGTAAGAAGTCGTAATGTTGAGTTGCGTAGCACAAGATTGAAGTAGATCCTCAACCACACAAGACAGAAAGCAGCGACCATGGTCCGTGAGTTAGTGAAAGGGAGCACCATGCTGAAGGATGATGTCATAGAAAAGCAAATCTGCAACGTCCGTTGCCAGAACAAAAGCAGGCTGGGGCGTGCTAGTATTTTCTCACTTTCATTCACCAGTAACCAATTATCTTTTCTTTGCTAAGGAATAAAATATAATGGCTACAGTAACCACCTCTGTAATAAACTATGCATATTACAATGTGGATCTTCCTGGGCCACTGCATGTATATTGCCATTGAAGAAGAAGAAGAAAATGAAACCTAAGAGAATAATAGTAATAATATCTCGTGTTTTATGACCCAAAATCAAGAGATGATTATACGAGATGCCGAAGTAGACTGATCTGGAAGTTTTGACCATCTGGTGCTCTTTAACAAGCGCTGACATGTAGTACGTGAGCCTATAGCATTTCCCCTCCATCGATATGCGACCGCCGCGCCCAGTTTCGAACCTCGCGACCAGGGGAGTAGCCAAGGGGAGGGGCTGTGGATTTTCTCATTTTTTTTGTAAGCTCATATATACACACACACATACGAGCGCACACATACAAACGCACACATCAGCATACATTAAATATGGTTGAATACCCCCCCCCCCCCCCCCCCACTACCTTCTGGTCAGCAGCTGAGTCTAATCCACCATGGTCAGCAGCAACCACTAATCCACCATGGCGAAGTTGGGATTTACAGAGCGAAGAAATGGTTGAATTGTTTATAAAAAGCAAGGAGAGCTGAGTTTGTGCGATGAAATAAGAAGAAACAGTGCAGAGTCGGAAATGAACACAAACAAAATAAGCAACTAGATGATGCGCTCGCACATCTGAAATGTACAGAGAACAAGAAACGTTTCTGTTGAACAATAATGCAGTGCCTTGCTGATTGAATGCCCGCATATTCTTCTGCACGCGGTAGAAGTCTTGGGGAGGGCTTGGAGGTGGACATCATAGGTGACAGAGACCAGGGCGAGTTTATTTCTGCCTCTATGAGGTAGGGCCGGCGGCGGCTTTGCGCTTGTTCTAGTGGCGTACAACTATGCGCATAGTGGAAGATATTAGGTGTTCTCAACTTCTGTATCTCGGCAACGCTCGCCTCGCACTAATGTGCACTGGTCAAGAGTTGGGGGTGAGGGCGGCGGTTGCCATTATCGATTGATTGAAAAGCTTAATCAATTAGTTTGATTGATTAGAAGGCAGAAATTGAATATGATATATTGATTAATGGTGTCCCTTTAATCTATTGATTAACTGTTCATTGGTTTTACCGTCCCTAGACCAACGTCAAATCTGACGGCAGTCTGGCAACCCTGACTGCTAAATCTGGCAACGGACTTATGCAATGCCAAACAGAACCTTGTCATGTGTGGAGTGTTCACTGTCATTCTTGGTTGCCTGTGTATTGTTAGCACTGTTACCGTAAAACCAGAAATATAGGTCACCCCCCCCCCCCCCATTTTGAATCTTCGAAAAAGAAAATTTTTAAAAATCACAAAGTATCGCGACGCACCCTAACCTTGCTAAATAGGCGACAAAACCAGCTGTACTGTGGTGATGTTTGTTTTTATTTCGACACTAATCTTGTGTTGTTAAATGCCAGAAGGCCACAAGGTGCTGTCACACAGAGTCGTCCGAACTTGAGTCCGATGACGTCTTTGTCACTGGTTACGTCCCAAAGTGCATCATCCTCCGTTCCATCCAATGCATTGTGATGCAGCATTTGCTGGAAAACTTGGGCACCATCTCTTCCGGGAGAGATATCCTAGCTGACGACACCCAGCCACAAACGGTCACGAGCGGTGGACGTTGTAGGCGGCCAACAGGGGCCTTGGGATTGTCGCCCAGCATCCACTCATTGTTGAGCTTGCGCACATGTTATTTGAAGGGTTTATTGAGCACTACTTCCAGTGGCTAAAGGATTCGCGTTAGTCCCCCAGGGATCACGACAAGGTCCGTCTTACCATCGGACAGAGCTCCCTTTACAGTGGCCCTGAGGTGGCCTGGAAATTAGTCGAGCACCAACATGCTCGTTCCCTGAAAGAGCGCACCGGGTCGCTGATTCCACACGAGCCGGATCCACTCAAGCATGAGGGATTCATTCAAAAACCCTTTTTCCGTTCGCTTTCACGATAACATCCCGAGTAAAGTCTTCTTTTGGTAGCCCTTTTCTCTTGGAAATGATATACGGGAGCAGCTTCTTTCTATCGCCTGTCTGCACGTGCATGACTGTAAATCGCAAATGCTCATTGCTCATTGTCAAGA